TGAAAAAACAAATAATTCAATTAGAAAAGAAGCAAAAGATGTAGACATTTCACTGAATATATAAATGACAAATACATGAAACAATGTTTAACATCATGTTAAACAATGCAAGTTAAAACCACAATGAGCTATCACCACATGCTTATCAGAGTGGCTAAAAAAACCGACAGTACCAAATGCTGTTGAGGATGCAGAGAAACTAGATCACTCACACATTGCTGGCAGGAATGTAAAATGGCACAGCTACTCTGGAAAACAGTTTTTCAGTTTCTTAATACAACTACCACATAACCTGGCAATTGTACTCCTAGGCATTTAACCCGAAGAAGTGAAGACTTACATCCACACAAAAACCTGCACATAAATGTTTATAGTAGCTTTATAATAGCCAAAATTTTAAAACAACTCAGATATCCTTCAATAGGTAAATGAAGCTGGATGTTGTGGCTCATACCTGTAACCCTAGAGCTTTGGGGAAGTCGAGGTGGGAGGATTGATTGCCTAAGGCTATGATTGCACAACTGCATTCCAGCCTGGATGACAGAGCAAGATCCTGTCTTTAAAAACAAAACAAAACAAAACAAAAAGGAACAAATCATTGAATATTACGCTGAACACATATCATGGAATACCACTCAGCAATACAAAGCAACAAATAATTGATTATGCAACAACTTGACTGAATCTCCAGAGAATTATGCTAAGTAAAAAAATGGCTATTACAAAAGGTTACTGTTACAGACTAAATGTTTGTGTCCTTTCTAAATTCAAATGTTGAAGTCCTTAATCCCCAATGTGATGGTATTAGGAGCTGGGGCCTTTAGGAAGTAATTAGGCTCAGATAAAGTCATGAGGGTGGAGCCACCATAACGGAATCAATGACCATATAAGAGGAGGAAGAGATCTCAGCACTTTCTCTGTGTGAGGATATACCGAGAAGGCAGTCTTCTGCAAGCCCAGAAAAGGGCACTCAGCAAGAATGTGATCTGCCAGCATCTGGACATTGGACTTCCCAGATTCCAGAACTGTGAGATAGAAATGTCTGCTGTTTTCTGCTCTTGTGTCAGTTTGCTGAGAATGATGGTTTCCAGATTCATCCATGGCCCTACAAAGGACACGAACTAATCATTTTTGATGAGTTCGATATTATATTGAACTGCATAATATTCCATGGTGTATATGTACCACATTTTCCCTGTCCAGTCTATCACCGATGGGCATTTGGGTTGGTTCCAGGTCTTTGCTATTGTAATCAGTGCTGCAATGAACATTCGTGTGCATGTGTCCTTATAGTAGAACGATTTGTAATCCTTTGGATATATACCCAGTAATGGGATTGCTGGGTCAAATGGAATTTCTATTTCTAGGTCCTTAAGGAATCGCCACAAGAGCAGAAAATCAAACACCGCATGTTCTCACTCACAGGTGGGTGTTGAACAATGAGAGCACATGGACACAGGGAGGGGAGCACTGCACACTGGGGTCTGTTGGGGGGAAATGGGGGAGGGACAGGGGGGTGGGGAGGTGGGGAGAGATAGCATGGGGAGAAATGCCAGTTATAGGTGAAGGGGAGGAAGGCAGCAAATCACACTGCCATGTGTATACCTATGCAACAATCTTGCATGTTCTTCACATGTACCCCCAAACCTAAAATGTAACAAAAAATAAAAGAAATGTCTGTTGTTTAAGACACTCAATCTACAGTATTTTCTAACGGCATCCTGAACTACGCCAATTATATGCTATATAATTCCATTTATATAATGTCCTTAAAATGAGAAAATTATAGACATGAAGAATGTGTTAGTAATTGCCAGAGATCAAGGAGGGGTGGGATTAAGGAAGTAAGTGGATGTGGCTATAAAAAAGACAACAAGAGGGATCCCTGTGGTGAGAGGAATGTTCTCTATCCTGACTATATCGATATCAATACTCTGGTTGTGATACTGTTTTATATAGTTTTGCAAGATGGTAACATTGGGGAAAAGCAGGTAAAGGGTACATAAGATCTCTCTTCCAACTCCATATGAATCTACAGTTATCCCAAAATAAAAAGTTTACTTAGAAAAACAGCTTTACCCATACATACATGTCTGAAACTTACTTTATAAATAACTACAGAAGCTCCTTGACTTACAATAGGTTCACAACCTGGTATAAGTTGAAAACATCTTAAGTTAAAAATGCATTTAATACAATTAACCTACCAAACATCATAGCTTACCCTAGGCTACCTTAAACATGCTTAGAACACTAACTTTGGCCTACATTTGGGCAAAATCATCTAATACAAAGTCTATTTTATTATAATATGCTCACTGTCTCATGTAATTTATTGAATAGTGTGCTGAAAACCAGAATGGCGGAATGAGTACCTGAAACATAGTTTCTACTGAATGTGTATCACTTTCACATCATTATAAAGTAAAAAAAGTTCCAAGTCAGGGATGGTCTGTTTATACACGCTGTATGTACACACATAGAAAGAGGGAGTGAGATAAGGGAGGTGTTGCAAGATGTTAACAATTGATGACTCTAAGTATACTTGTCTTGCAACTTTTCTGTAAGTTTGAAGTTTTCAAAGTAAAACATTGAGGGAGCAGGAATAATCTCCAGTTTCTTCACTGATCCTTTGCTTTCCTATTTGAAATATTCCATATCAAGATTAATCCTATGTGGTTGAGCTCTGGGCTTCCATAAACACCTGCATCCTGAAGAACAACGTGACAAACCATGCAGCAATGGCTTTTCAGATCTGATCTAAAGGGAATTTAAAGATATCCTGATAACTAGAGACAGAGCATGTTATATGGCAAAACATAATTACTTAAGTTTCACTGTGGGGAATAAAACAGCATTATTATCACCCTGTTCATCATATTTAGAAAGCAAGCAGTTTCATGCCTTTCAATGTGAAGGAAATTGGTTTCCTGCTTTTCTTTTTTAAAGCATGAATTTGTTTACTTCTCTCAAGTAAAAGAAGACCTGAGTGACACTGCTTTACCATGAGGCAACTCTCAGAACTACTTCAGGCTGTTCTGAGAAATATAACAGAGGTGTGCCTATCTACAGCCTAGTAGTCAAGTGCTCTCAAGTCACAACAATCTGGGTTCAAGTCACTAACAAGCTATAAGAACTGTCTATACCTCACTGAGCAGGATATAATGGTATGTATTCTCCTTTTTGCGTGGATTTAATGATACAATGAATATAAAGGGCTTAACACAAAATAAGAGCTCAATACATTCTACCATTATCACTAAGTATTTACAATTACTTAAGATAAAGCAACCAAAACTTATATTTTACAAGAATAACTATTCATAAAATTATTTTAAAGTTAATACCTCACTGTTTTAGATAAAAATCAAATGAGATCATCTGTATACATTATAAAATTATAACTTTAATACATTATAAAAATTACACAAATTAGGAATTTTGCCTATAAACAGCATGATATAGTAGATAGAACACAATATTCAAAATCAGAAGGCTCAGAGTTAAGTCCTGACTCTACTGCTTTCTGATTATGTGATCTCAGGACAGTACTGAAACTGCCTCAGTTTTCTCATTAAAAAAAAATGAGATGTTATCCCTTTTGTGACAGGATGATAGAAATTAAAATAGGAAATATATACAAGAGTATTTCGTAAAATTAAAGCACTATATGACATTAATAAATACAAGTTTTCACATTTCCCCCATGAAATGTCATTCATCATAAAATCTGCCAAATTTGACAGAAAATTTCTGAAGGTAATATAAATGGTTAAGAAAATCAAGCGATTTAAAAAAAAAATGAGGCTACTGGAACTAAAATGTCTAATGCCTTTACATAACAGTCAAATACACATATTCAAAATATGTCCCTAAAGACATCCACTGAATTTTAGGTAGTCTTATATTTGCAGTTGGTAACATTTTTTTCTATTAAAGCCAAAAAAAATGTGTCACTTATAAAAGTTAGATCAAAAAGCCTTGCTTGCTACAACATGTTTTAACAATCTTACATTTGGGTAACTGGTAACTTCCTTTCCTACAAATGTGTGCCTCCTCTGGCCTGGGAAATGTGACTGTCAGTCAGTCTCCATGTCACTCAGGTGTAAAATCTCTTCCCTCTTTAAGTTTCATAGTCTTCAACTCCCAGTGAGTCTTCCTTCTCAATGTCTATTTTTTTCTATCCCCACTGCCATTACCATATGTTGGCTTTCATTACTTTCTACCTGTAGTAATAACTTCAAACTAATTTCCTTGCTTCCAGTCTCTGTGCTCTTACAGTCCACTCTATTTATTACTGCTAAGTTGAATCCTAAAATCCTGCTTTTGCTGTACCACTCCCTATTCAAAGACTTCCCCCAAAATACAAAATCCTCAGCCTCGAGTACAAGCAGAACCTGGAAGTTGCATAATCAATCACCAGAAAATACAGCAGTCATTTTTTTTTTGTTTTTGTTTTGAGACTGAGTCTCGCTCTTGTCACCCAGGCTGGAGAGCAGAGGCACGATCTCTGCTCACTGCAACTTTTGCCTCCTGGGTTCAAGCAATTCTCGTCTTAACCTCCCGAGTAGCTGGGACTACAGGCACACAACAACACGCCTGGCTAATTTTTATATTTTTAGTAGAGATGAGGTTTCGCCATGTTGGCCAGCTTGCCTTGAACTCCTGACCTCAAGTGACCTGGCCAACTTGGCCTGCCAAGGCGCTGGGATTACAGGCATGAGCCACCACACCCGGCCTAGAAGTAGTCTTTACTGCCTTCGGCAGATGACATACCACCACTGAAGACTCAGCACAGGAAGAAGGTTAACATCAGGTTCAGTGAGATCTATGGCCACTCAAAATGGAGATGTAGGTCACAAAGTTAAAAGAGGCTCAAATTTAAAAACAGGCAAAGAAATCAGAGTTTTAATAATTTGTTTAAAATGCACAATCAAGTGTTAGAATTGATACCTGAAATAATAATGTAGAGTGTTTCTTTAAAATGGAAGAAAACCTACCTGGTAAAGGCAGGCTGCTGTTCCAAGGAAAAATGCAATGATGTAATTAAAATCATCACCATCACTCTGCAAAAGCAAAATAAAAGATTTTTGTTTCTGGTAGAAGCCCATTTCCAAAACCAATCCATCAATATAGGACAAAACAATGTTTACACACAGTCAAAACTGTCACAAAACTGGTAAATAAAAATTCTCGAGTCCTAAAGTGAAAACATAAAATACATTCTAAGGCCTAAAGAGTGCGGGGTAGAGATACAAGTGTTCCTCTACATTTTGGCTACCCCCATCAGTTTCATTCCACCCAAGAGAAGATGAAAGCCACTGGGGAAAAGTTCTGACATAATGTTAAAAGCCTCTCTTCCTCCTACTAAAAAAACTATGCCCCAGTGGCTGACAAAGTTACTCCAGTTCACTAGGGTCACTACTTGACTCAAATACAGACAAACTTTACTACTAGTATCACTGAATTGTCCAATAAAGTAATTTGATAGAATTTTTTTTAAAACTGTGAAAACTGGAAAGCTACTGTCCACTAGAGTGTGCTAAATCCCAATGAGAAAAATTAAGACTAATCAGTTTCGCATGCTACGCTAGAAGAACAGCCACCCAGAGGAAACTGAGATACCTCATGCATAGAATGTCTCTGAAAAGAAAACTAATAGAGACATGTAACAACCCATGCTTTCCTATTCCTTTTTGGTTTTTCTTAAATATCTACATTATTAACTTCTTTCAGTGTTTTTATACAGTAAAATATAAAGTCCAGGCAGGAGCATTAAATTTTTTTTCTCCCAGGTAAGAACATTAATTTGGCCCTTTTCTTGTATGAGAAAAAAAAATCTCTTTACATGATGAAAATTTCCACAAGACACAGAAGATTATCTCATGATCATGTCTTCATAAAATAGTATAAAGGGAAAATTCCTTTTGCACTGGTTATTGGGCAACAGAATTGACTGTAAGGCAGAGGAAACCTGGCTTATCCTGGTGAGATCTTAAAATAGGAACCATTCATCTGTCTGGGATGCTTAGGCCAGTTGCACCCCAGAGGCAAGGAAGGTCAACATGAAACCTGTCCAGTTTAATAATTCTAAAACCTTAAATAACTTCTGCTTATTTTTTTCTTTATTCCTTTACTTTTTAAATGACCTTTTTCTTCTGATTATAAAAGTTCATGTTCATTGTAAAGAATCTGGAAAATACAGATTATACAAAGAAAAAATTAATATAACCTACAAATGCCACACTCTGGGAAAAATTACTGCTAACCTTTTCATGTATTTCCTTCCAGTCTTTTCTGTGTATGTATATATTTTTAAAAATTGATACTTTTATATAATACCTTTTAGTACTTCACATTACATCATAAACATTTTCCCAAGACAGCAAGTATTGCTCAACCACATACTTTGTAATGACTATATAACCTTTAATTGTGGGATATACCATAATTTATTGTCCTACAATTGGATACTGTATTTTTTCTCTAAATTTACACTTTCACTTTATAACTCCCTTAATCATCTTTTTGACTGCTTAACCGATTGAGACTAAGTCTTGCTCTATCACCCAGGCTGGAGTATAGTGGTGCATCTTGGGTCACTACAACCTCTGCTTCCCAGATTCAAGTGATTCTCCTGCCTCAGCCTCCCAAGTAGCTGGGATTACAGGCACCCATCACTATGCCCAGCCAATTTTTGTATTTTTTAGTAGAGAGGTGGTTTTACCATGTTAACCAGGCTAGTCTCGAACTCCTGACTTCAAGTGATCTGGCCGCCTCAGCCTCCCAAAGTTCTGGGATTACAGACATGAGTTGCCATGCCCGGCCTTAATTGCCTTTAAAATACTTAAAAGCATATTTCTAGAGTCAGTCAAACTTGGGTTCAAAGTTTTACTTATAATCTGGGACACTTACTTAACTTTAATTTCCTCTTTTGAAAAATAAAATTGTAGAGATTAAGTGAAATACCATTTGCAAATACAAAGAAAAGTAACTGGTACATAGTAAGTACTCAGAAACATTCATCAACCCCTCTCTCCCTGCAGTTACTGTCTGCATCATTTGAAAAATCTTTAATTATACTTGATAAAGAGAAGACTATTAGCATATTCTTCCATTTCATAAATATTAAGCATTTACAAGCCAGGTACTTTGTTACTAACCCTAGTACAGAAAAGAGTTAAAGAACACATGGACACAGGGAGGGGAACATCACACACTGGGGTCTGTTGGGGGGAAATAGGGAAGGGACAGCGGAGGGTGGGGAGTTGGGGAGAGAGAGCATGGGAAGAAATGCCAGATATAGGTGAAGGGGAGGAAGGCAGCAAATCACGCTGCCATGTGTGTACCTATGCAACAATCTTGCATGTTCTTCACATGTAACTCAAAACCTAAAATTCAATAATTAAAAAAAAAAAAAAAAAGAGTTAAGTCCACACCAACTTAAGGAGCTCACTCTAATTAAGAAGGCAGATACATAAATCAATAATTACCACCCAAAGTGGTAACTGATGGCACAGGCGTGTGTAGAGGATACTAAGGGACCCACTGGAGATACATTTAATTCTGCCTAGAGAAAAGAAAGGCCAGGGAAGGCTTCCTAGAGGGAGTAAAGCTTAATCTGGGTCTTAAAGGCTGAACCAGATAGACAAGGTAGGAAGATAATCCAAGGCAAAGGAAGTAGCATGTACAGTGTCAGAGAGGAAGGAGGTTAAGATGACTCAGAAGTTTCTTGTTGAAGCAACATTTGAACGACACCTTGCACTAAGTTGGGCATATAGGAAGAAAAGTAATTCAAGAGCAGAAAATACTGAGCTCATTGTGGACATGCTATTCTGGAGTTGCCAATGGGACATCCAAATAATTATATTTAGCAGATATTTAAGTCTGCTTCAGGAAAGAGTTTCATCCAGAGATCTAATTCAGCAGTCATCTATTTTAATAGTAGCTAAATGAAAGGCCTATGACATTTAGGCCTTCTTGATTGGCTCCTAGATTCGAGAGAGAAATAAAACACTATAAAGAACATTCTGGGGGCAACTGTGGAAATTTGAATACAGATTTTATATTAAGTAACACTATACCAATGTTAAATTTACTCGGTGTGATCAAGGTATTAAGATTACATAAAAGGATATCTTATCCCCTAAGACATACATATTGAGTAATTTTGGAATAAACTGTGATGATACCTACAATGTTAACTTGCAAAAAGTCTGGAAACCATCATTCTCAGCAAAGTGACACAAGAACAGAAAATCAAACACCACATGTTCTCACTCATAGGCAGGCGTTGAACAATGAGAACACATGGACACAGGGAGGGGAGCATCACGCACTGGGGTCTGTTGCGGGGGCCAAGGGAGGGACAGTGGAAGGGGGAGGTGGGGGACGGATAACATGGGTAGAAATGCAAGATGCAGGTGACAGGGGGATGGAGGCAGCAAACCACATTGCCATGTGTGTACCTATGCAACAATCCTGCATGATCTGCACATGTACCCCAGAACATAAACTACAATTAAAAAATAATAATAAAAAGTAAAGAAAGAAGAAAGGAAAATGGTAGGTAGGTATATGAGGTGGATGTTAACTGTTAATAAAAGTTCTTTAAACTTTTCTATAAGTTTGAATTCTTTCAAAATAAGATGTTATGTGGTACAGGGAAAGGAAAACACAAATATTTAATAAAAAGTCATATGGCCACTAAAAAGAATGGAATATATCTCTGTGTACTCATCTGAAATAATCTCCTACAGTTTTAGACTTTAAAAGATGCAAATTAGTATTGAGTATGCTATCATTCGCATAAAAATTTTTTAAAGAATAAGTAAATATATAAATACCTATATACTAGCATATGCACATAATCTCCCTAGAAGGGTGACTCTGAGGAAGAAAAATGGGGAGAGAAATTACTTTTTCAAAATATCAACTCTTGTAGGCTTTGTAATTTTTCATGTACATATTTTACTCTGTGTGTGTGTGTGTGTGTGTGTGTGCACGTTTATATACATATGTATGTGTATTAACTTTTCAAATACACCATTAGGAAAGTAACCAAGAAGGTGGCATGGAGTTGAAAGAATAAAAAGCCAAGGACACAATACTGGAGAATGCCACTGTATAAAGGACAGGTGAACGAAGAAAGTGTATCAAATAAACTGAGAAACAGCAAGAGAAAGAGGAAAATAAAACACAACTGGAGAAAATGGTTTCACAAAAATTAATGGATGAGAGATGTGTCAAGAAGAAAAATGTAAATACATTAAACTTTTAACAGTGATTTGTGTCTATGTTTCCTGAAATGAAATTTTTTGAAATTAAACAAGGCAATGTTTAAAAGGAAGAACAGAATGATAGATGAGGCAGAAGAGGTAAGTAAGGTAAGACTCTAAAGAGTCTATTTGGCTATTTGGCAACTGAAAGAATACTGCTGAGCTTAATGTGGGTATCTGAGAGAATTACAGGGGCAGAAAAGAGATCACAGTAGACTAAGAAAATAGAGGATAAAGGAGCAAGACAACAAACATAGTTTACTGTCTCAAAAAATTAGAAGGGAGCAGCCGGGTGAGGTGGCTCACGCCTATAATCCCAGCACTTAGGGAGGCCAAGATGGGTGGATGACCTGAGGTCAAGAATTTGAGAGCAGCCTGACCAACATGGTGAAACCCCATCTCTATTACAAATACAAAAAAATTAGCCAGGTGTGATGGTGGGTGCCTATAATCCCAGCTACTTGGGAGGCTGAGGTGGGAAAATTGCTAGAACCCCGGGGGGTGGGGGGCAGAAGTTACAGCTAGCCAAGGCTGCACCACTGCACCTCAGCCTGGGTGACAGCGAGACTCCATCTCCACACACACACACAAAATTTTGAAGGGAGCATACATGAAGAGGCTTTTTGGTTTTGTTATTGTTTGTTTTGTAAAGAACAGCAGGGCTGAGGAAAATGAGCAAGTAGGGAAGCAGCAGATGAAAGAAATAGCCAGAGGTCGGGAAGGTGGGCAGAGATTAGGAGCAGGGACAAAAGTGGAAGTGAACAGGGGTGGGGAGACAGAGACAGGGA